TATGGTCATGATCTGAAACAATGCAGGAAGCAGATTGAGAAGAAATGGTCTCTTAAGACCGAAGGGGAACAGAAGGAGGTTCAGGACTCAACCCAAGAGGTGGTGGTGGAAACACAAAAACAGCAGTCTCCAAAATATATACCAACTGACCAGAAGGATGCCACTGAGCTGGAAGATGGGAGTGTTCAGATATTAAATCAAAAAGGTATTAAAATTCCTGATAGTAGAGGAGATATTAAGAATAGATCCATTAATAGTATTTGTTATCAAAGAACTAGTCACCCTGATCCAGGGCCTAGTGCTTATGAATAACATACTTTCTTGGAACATAAGAGGACTAAATAGTCCTCTAAAACACAGAGAGGTAGACCAATGCCTTTCTGTGAATAAGGTTGGTATTATGGGGTTGTTGGAAACTAAACTGCATGGTAAAAAGGTGATGGAGCTCATGGAAAAGAGGTGGTATAATTACTGTCATATTAGTAATCATGATAACCAGAATAAAGGGAGAATACTATTGCTTCGGAAGAAAGATGACTATGTGGTAAAGGAGATCAAGGTGGATGCTCAGTTTATACATTGCCATATTACTGAATTATAATGTAAAAAGCAGTTTTACTTCACCTTGGTATATGCAGACTATTTAGCACAAGGGAGAAGTAGACTGTGGGAAAGTTTGAAAGTTCTGTCACAAGGGATTAATGAAGCTTGGCTAATGATAGGGGATTTTAACTGTCTTATGCAGCAGAGTGAGAGATGGGGTGGAAGAGAAGAGATGAATTCTAATTCTGGAAAATTCAAACAGCTGATTGAGGAGTGTGAGTTATGGGAGATGGCAGTGCAAGGAGGGTTCTATACATGGAGTAATAAGCAACTTGGAAACATGAGAATATTATCAAAACTGGATAGAAGCTTTATCAATGAATGTTGGGAGAATGCATTTCCTGAGGCTGATACCACAATCTTGAATGCAGGGATTTCAGATTATCATCCTCTTCTAGTAAAATGGGGAGAGGAATATGTTGGTAAAAAGACTTCCTTCAGATTCTTTAATATGTGGTTGCAGGATCAGGAATGTAAGGCCATAGTAGAAGATTATTGGAAAAAGAAGGTGAAGGGATCAAACCAGTACAGAATGATTAAAAAGCAGCAAGGATTGAAGAAGCCATTAAGAGAGATGAATAAAAGGAAATTCTCAAATATTGAAGAGGAAGAATTAAAATAGAGGAAAAAACTGGATGAAATCAAAGAAGTTTTGAAGGTTGATCCACATAATACACAACTTTACCAGGTGGAAAGAGAAGCAATTAAGGAGTGTGGCTTAGCAGGGAAAGCAGTGATAAGCTTCTACCAACAAAAACTGAAGGAGAAATGGATACAGGAAGGAGATCTGAATACCAAGTAATTTCATGCCAGTTTAAAGAAGAAGACATCCATAAGTAAAATTAGAGCCTATACAGATGATCAAGGAATTCTGATTGAAGATCCAAAGTTGATAGAAATGCATTTTCTGGAGTATTTTCAATCACTAATTGGAACTACTGTGGCTAGAACATCAATCCAAAGTGACTTCATCAGCTCAGGGATAAATCTATCAGTTGAACAGCAAATTTTCCTGACTATGGAGTTCACTAAGGCTGATGTTAAGGAAGCAATGTTTAGCATCGATGTTGCAAAGAGTCCAGGCCCTGATGGTTTCAATAGTGGATTCTATAAAGCTATGTGGACCATTGTAGAAGATGATGTATGTGAGGCAGTCATGGAGTTCTTTAAAACAGGTAAACTGATAAAACAGTTGAATGCAACTTTGATTGCTTTGATTCCTAAAGTAGAAGTCTCTAAAGATGCCACAGAATACCGACCTATTGCTTGCTGTAACACAGTATATAAATGCATAACTAAAATGATATGCAAGAGGCTGAGTAGTGTGTTGGATGGATTGACTGATATAAACCAAGGTGCCTTTGTGAAAGGAAGATCTATTCTGCAAAATATCCTATTGACACAGGAACTAGTAAGACTGTACAATAGGAAGAATGTAAAGCCAAGTTGCCTAATGAAGGTAGATCTCAGGAAGGCCTATGATTCTATTCATTGGAACTTTATAGAGGAAATGTTATAGGAGTATGGGTTTCCACATTCTCACTGAACATTAATGGATGCAGTACTGGATTTTTCCAAGGAAGAAGAGGGTTAAGACAAGGTGACCCGATGTCACCCCTCCTCTTTGTATTGGTGATGGAATATCTAACCAGAATGTTTAAATCAGAAGCAAGCAAAGGAGGTTTTCAGTTCCATCCTTACTGTGATAAATTGAAAATAACCTCTTTGAGTTTTGCAGATGATCTCACAATCCTATGTGGTGCTGATATTCACACAGTGATAAAAGTGAAGAAGATGATGGAGAATTTTGAAGCTACATCTGGATTGAGAATCAATTTTAACAAATCTAATGTTTATGTGGCAGGAGTTTCTAATACTATAGCTGATCAAATCCAGTATGTGCTGGAATTTGAGAAATGTAATTTTCCCATGAAATACTTGGGGATGCCAATCTCTCCTACTGCAAGGAGTAAACTGGAATGTCAAAAAATGGTGGATAAAGTGACTGCAAGGATCAACTATTGGACTTCTAAACATCTATCCTATGCAAGTAGGTCAGTGCTAATTAATTCTGTTTTGTTAAATTTAAACTCCTATTGGGCTAGCATCTTTCTGTTTTCTCAGAATGTGATCCAAGAAATAGCCAAAGTTTGTAGGCAGTTTCTTTGGGGAAATAAGGAAGATGGTAGGAAAATACCACTTGTAGCATGGAATGATGTATGTCAGAAAAAATCAGAAGGGGGACTTAATATTAAGGAACATAGTTTGTGGAATAAAGCCATGATCACTAAGCAGTTGTGGGATCTGAGTAACAGGAAGGAAAGCCTTTGGGTTAAATGGATGCATATGTATTATATAAAGGGCAGGTCAATATGGGATTGTAAAGCTCCAAATGACAGTAGTAGGCATTGGAAAAAGTTAATGAAAATCGAAGAAGTTATGAAAGCAGGAATCTGTAATGATCAATGGCTGGGGAATGGTGGTAAGAAGTATACAGCAAGCAGTGGATACACATGGTTGAGACGTGAGCACAGGAAGGATCATCCTGCAAAGGTAGTATGGTGTAATTGCTCAGTCCCAAAACATGGTTTTATAAGCTGGTTGGCTTGGAAGCAAAGAATAAACACTGGGGAAAGGTTGTAGAAATTGAACATTGTTGCTGATATCATTAGTAGTGTGCTGTGTGGAACAGAACCTGAATCTGCACAACATTTATTCTTTCAGTGTGTGTTTTCTAAGAGATTGCTAGAATTGGTGAAAGTCTGGCTGGACATCAATATCATTCCAAGCCAGTTGAATATCCAGGCAATGCTGCAGCAGTGGAGGTACAGGAAGCTGCAACAGAGGGTGTTCTATGCTGTTTTCAATGCCACTGTTTACCATGTTTGGATGGAAAGGAATTACAGAAAATTCAGAAACTTAAAAAGTGAGGTGGAATGTTGTTTCAGCAGAATTCAGCAAGAGATTAGAACTAGAATACAGTTCTGTTTTAAGAAGAAGAGGTTGAAAAACAGTGAGCAGCAATTTTTGAGAAGATTAGGCCTATAATTTTGATAGTGGATATAATTATACATTGTACAGGAACTTTGTGATGTGATTAATGAAATTTACATTTTAACCAAAAAAAAAAAATTAAAAAAGAAAAAAAAAAAAAAGACATTCTGAATGTGATACTATCTTTCTTACTCATTAAATTTTTTGGCGGAAAGGCTTTGCTGAATTCATTCGTCAAGCGATGAAACAAAGTCATCTGGACTGTTTAACCTATAAAAGGCCCCTGCTATTTTATTATGCTTGTCAAGCCCGGTAACAACGTAGCCTTGATACGAAAAATCAAAACCTGTTGCATTGTGAACCTGAATAAGCATATTATAAGTCAACTCATACCAAGTTTCTTTTTCTGTCCTAACAACGGACCCAAATACAAGATGATCGCCCGTTTCTTTATTGTTGGTGTTAACTGCGAATTTCGCATTATCAACTATTTCGGAAGACTTCAGATTAACTACCTCTCTTCAACGTGGAGGATAGGGCGAAAATGAGTGATCATAAGCATCAACAGTAAGTATTTCAAGGCCTACAGTTAGCATCGTGGTTACTATCAATAGACGATAAAACCTGAAATAATCGATATCTCCTCTAGAAAGAGGATCTAATTCTGGAAAATTTTTCTATATGTATTTGAAATGATAATTTTTTTCCACTGCAGGAACTTAGTTTCATAAGGATTATATACTAGTTGAAGAAATTATTTCATGTAATCTTAGAGTTAATATTATCTAAACAAGATTGTAGTCTTAATTTCTTACGTTATAAATGTTACAAATGCTAGTAACTAATATTTATTTTTTCTTTTCCTTTATTTTATCGAAGGTTCAGAGAACTTAAGTCTCTAGTATTTATTAATAGCTTATTAAATTACAAGCTAACAAAACTCCGCTAACATTAATTCCTCACATATCAGAAAAAAAAAAACAATGTTTATTCTCAATCTCTTCAGAAAGAGAAGAAACTAGAGTAAGTTCTTATTGATGGCGATGCACCTTTCGTAATTCCTGTTAGGACTCCCCGTGGTCATATATGGATTGTTTTTTGGTGTATTAAGGGGCAAAAAAATATACTTCCCATTAGAGTTTTGAGAAATCTTCCAATTAATTTAGTTTTATCTATAAATTTGTAATTTTACATTAAAAATTTACCATGAAATGATGGAGTGATGCGATTGTGACATGTGGAATTGACTATCCAATTTTACGCTATGTGAATTAGCATATTTAATTTTACGCCATGATCATGTTTCCGATTGATAACTCTTCTTTAATATACTAGTGTTGTACCCGTACGTTGTGCGTGATATTTAGATATTATTCCATATACTAACATTTTATATATATTTTTCAAGTATAACCATACATGATCGCTGCAAAAAATACAATTTCAATGATATTAAAAAATGTGTGATACGAAATTGTTTATTTTATTTTAGTTTTTTTTTTTTTTTTTTTTGCAAACTTATCTTGATTGTAAGTTGTGGTCAGCATGGAATAAATACAAAAAAAAAAAATAACGCTTTAATATGGCGGTCATAAAGAAAAGAAAAAGAACTGACAAACCAAATAAATTAAAACACATGTAAAGTAACAAGTAATTATAGCCCAAACACACTATAATTACTTATGTCCGTCATACACTAGAGTTATTGCATTCTCTGAATTTATTCCATGCTAAACATAGCTTATAATCAAGTTGAGAAAACAAAATATGGAAGATAATTTTCATTCGTCCTAAGGAAATAATTTGAGAAAAGAAAATCACCAGAGCGTAGATTTGTCAATGTTGTATTGGACTCTTTCTCTCTCGGTCACTCTCTCTCTCTCATGTTTGTTTCTAATTGCATAAATACTAAAATCAATCAAACATAGACAAGAAACAAGGGATATATACATACATATATATATATATATGTATATATAAAGTGGAAATAAGTAAAGGGGAAGTTTGCTTTGTCGCCAAGGGGTGGTTATTGTCCAAATGAATCCAATAAATACCAATAGGGACTGAATGCCTGTGATAAAATGATTGAATATCAGAAGTCCTTCTTCACTAGTTCTACAATTTTATAAGTCTCAAAAACAATTTGAAATGGAGGAAAGAGTTACGAAATATTTCTGTGCATGATATATATAAGAGAGTTCAATGCATAAAAGAATTATACATTAAACATAAAACAACACTGGATGATCATAACGAACAATGCAGTTACAGCACATACGTTTCTAACATGTTGTGTGCAACATACGTACACACATATTTATGTATCATTTCAGAAAGAAATTAGTAATTCATGCTCATGATCCCATGCATCCATATCAGCTGCCAAGTCTTCCTCTCCTCAAACTTAATAGGTCAAGAAATACATTCTAAGGTTTTATTAATGTCATTCCATTGAGAAGGAAAATCTTTAACAAATATATGGAGTTGTACCTGGCACAGGATGAGCAGGAGACTTGAGAAAAGTATCGGCCAACATTTGTCCTAGCTTGACTTGGGATGGAGTTGTAAGATGTAACCTATCCCTTAATAGGTCGAAGCCTTTGGGATCAACGCATTGCACATTTGGAAGTCTAGTTCCAAATTGTGCTTGCCTTACAATCTCAATACGTTTTGTGTCGTTCCCAGAAATTATAGCCACCTAAACATAACCATGGAATAAATAAAAATTAGTGAAACTAATTAAAATATAACCAGCTATTAAATGTGAGAGATGAATTAAATATTTTAGCTGATATAGCTAACCTGAATGATAGGAAGAAATGGTGAAAACAAATCAGCGCGAACACTAAGAAAAAAATTCTTCAATTTCTCCTTGTAGGAGAAGGCATCCACGTCTAACACAGTATCGCTTTCACCTTGATACCACAATATGCCCCTGAGAATTCCACCACTTTTCACAGCGATCCTGGCCCTATAAATCAGCTGGTTGTAGTGGCAGGTACCGCGCTCCCATTGGCTTATTTTTGTGCCCCCAATGGCACAAGGCACCAGACCAATGTACTCGATATACGGATCCCAGCTGGTTTTCCCACGTCAATGTCCTTGTGCAGTGGCTCTATTGCTTCCTCCCAGAGGCCATTTCCAGAGAGCCGAAGAATGGATTTATTTGGTTGGCATTCCTGCGGAACAATCCCGTCCCAAATACCTCCTTTAACCCCACCTCTACCGGCCATATTACTCTGGCCAGCGAGTATAAATATATTGAGAGGGTTTGGGATGATGAAGTTCCCGTGCACATTGTAAGTCAAGAAAATTCCAACAAGAAGGATAAATTTGATCGTCATTCCTGTGTATGACACCGCGAGTAATAATATAATATATGTTATAAGAAACTTATCACAAAACAAAGTCGGAACCTAACAAGGTAACAGAAATTGGTTATTCCTTTAGAAAATGGGTCTATTACCTCAATAAAATAATTGATATAGCTACTTGGCTTTGCAACTCTGTTTTAAAAGGAAGAAACAACTCACAACACGCCATTTTCTTTTCAAAAAGACTTTGAGGGAAAAAAAAAAAAACAGATGAGAAGAAACAAGCCATTTTCTTTCCCATTTTCTTTTCTTTTCGTTTCAAATGGTACCGGGCACGAGTCAATATATAGCACTCTACAAGTAAATTAAATTAATCTTCGATAAAGAAAATTTATGTATTATCTGGGAAAAAACTTTAACCAAATTTATAAAGCGCAATATTCAGACAGAGTCAAATGAGCACCGGTTTCCGACTAAATACTACAAACTACAAAAACTGGCTGTCCGGAAAAATTTTAACTTGATATCGGAGCACTGGCAAGGGTCAGTCCAGATTGAAACAACGCATATATTTATGATCTTTTTTCTCAGGCAAAACTTGTGTATTCATTTATACCTACTTCGGTATAATCCCTTATAATTAATTGGAAACCACGCACCCAATTGAAAAAAGAAAATCATCTCAGAAACCAAGATAAATAATTAAGTAAAAGTTCAACTTTTACATCGTTACCGTGAAGAAAACAGATGCATTTTGGAGACGCTATTACTTGTTCAAGAGAAATGAACATCATGAGATGGATTTATCAATTAAAATAGAAATCAACAGTGTATGATGCCAACAAGTTTCCCAAGCTTCTTTCTCTTAATTTTATGAATAAATTCTAAAAACCCAAAACTTTTGGCTAGTGAAAATTCATATCCAGAAAGCTTACTCACGCAACCAGATCACATTTGGTTTGCGTAATTACCCAATTTGAACATGTAGACAAAATGCATGTTCTTCAGTGTTCTCTTTCGCCTTTTCCCTTTCATTTAAGAGAAAGTTACGAGTTAATCAATATAAACTTGCTTTTCAAAACCCATTTTCTCCTTCTATCTAAATCTGTAGTACTCCACACCATTAAAAGAACTAGCTTACATTAATTTTAGCCATTATTTTGAAATTGCTAGTTTCATCCATACTCTCATTTAGGGTAGCAAGCTAGGAAAAAGAAAAATCCAGAACTTTGTACTTCAGTAGAACATTGAAAAGAGATATTATTAACTAAAGTAACAATAGTGTGTAATTCTTACTCCACCCTTTTATAAGAATACTTCTGTCGAGGCCTGAAATTGGTTGATCACTGAAATGATTCTACATCCAAAACGAAACATCAAAATACCACAGTCCTTCATATATAATTCATAATTGAAGCAAGAGCACAAATGTGGACAGTTAAATACGAAGCGATCAAAAAATTTAAACTGAGTGCTGATCTAGCAATTAAGAGTTCCATGAAGCATGTAGCATCATTCCTTGTAAAGTCGATTTATCAATTAATATAAGAGGCAGCATGCCAATATTTATGCATCAACTAATTAAAACTCCTCCAAAAAAAAAAAAAATATACGAGAAGAGGCAGTATGCATGTCAATAGTTATGCATCAAATATAGTTAAAACTCCTCAAAAAAAATATAAAAAAAAGGAGAAGAGGTAGCATGTCAATATTTATCAATAAATCTAAACTAGGAGAAGTGGCATCTTGGAAAAACCGTGCCCGAGGTGCGATCAGCCTGGAAGAGAACGTTGAAAAGTAAGAGCGACGGTGCAGTAGACGGGAACGTTGAGCAAACTATGTGCAGTAGATGTAAACTTATGGTGTCATGGGAAATAAAAGTGGTTGGATTATAGTAGCCTACAAGAGAACGTTGGAAGAAAAGAGCCGTTGCAGTAGACGTACCCTTGATCGTTTGATATAGTGTGAGACATCACTTGCATTTATCGTTGTAACTTGTAAAGGATGTAAGTCATGCGCAACATTTCTCACCAGTAAATTACTCCTCCACAATGATTCCATCAAGGGAACGTTGTCCTTAGTGGCCCTAATTACCCTTGGATTCCGAATAATCACAAACCAAAGCTCGTCAAACGATCAGGTCTTCCTTTACTTGATTATAAAATGTAAACATGAGGGTTTCGTTGGACCATTCTGCTTTATATTATTTATATTTTCAAGCTCTTTATATGCATGCTTTCGATGTTTCATTTTCAGCATTTATATATCATTCTGGTTTACATTTCAAAGAACCATCAACCTTAAAGTACTAGTCCATAGATGTTTTACTACGACAATCAGGCGCGCACACAATGAAAACAAACAAATACTAAAAGTGGCCATGATTACATCTCCGAAATTCTTCCTAGGTCAAGATACCATGATTCAATATTGTTAAAGAAATACTAAAAGATACCTTTGCATTGATGTGCATATAAATAATCTATTTATAATATCCCTTTATCCGGGATTTCGCCAATGTTTTGAGTACAAATATGTTATTTATATGATTTCATCTTTGATTGTAGGAATTGTACTCAAATGGAAGAATTGTTGAGATTTTGGACAAAATTTAAAAGAAAGAGCAACTAAAAAGGGCCTAAATGGAGATTATAACAACTAATGAGGAAGGAATCAGAAGACTTGAAGATTTAGAGGATTGAATTGCAATTTTGGTTTTTCTTCCTATGATGTGGCCGAGACAAGTTGGTGGTGTGGCTGTTTGGAGTTTAATTTGGCAAGAATTTTAATCCCAATATTATTTGGGGGAACAAGTTTTCTTTCTCTCCAAGAAATAAGATTTGACGGAAGACTATAAAAGGAGGATTAGGGTTTTATTTTTAGGACCGAACTTGATCGAAAACTCACATCCTTCACCAAAATTTCTACCGCCTTCCTCACGGCTGCAACTACACCCACCGCACCACCAAACCTCACACTTAAACTCTTCACCATCATCACCGCCCTACACCCAACGCACCACCGAACCTTGACCGAAACAATCAAAACAACCAGTCGCATCAACCCCCGAAGCCACCTCCTCTCCTCCTTGCCGCAGCACACCACCCATCACCTTTGTGCACCATCATCATCTTTTCACCACAAGCTTCCAGCAACCGAGATGAAGGAGTCGCCGTTCGAACTGTCCTGAACTAATTTGATTACGAGAGTAAGATTATATCCTTAGGTTGTAAGCTACGAGAGTAAGATTATATCCTTTGCCGCATTTGATTCTTAGTGGTTTTAATGTGCTTTTGTTAATCCTATAGTCACGAGAGTACTCATAGGGTTAATCTAAGTAGGAGAACTATAGTGCGAGAGTGTGTAGTTCTTAATTAGGTGAATAGTTGTGAGATTAATGGAAGTTAAAAGTCAGATATTTATAAATTGAACCAAACCAAATATTTGGTAGGTGAACCCAATGTCCTAGGTTTTTCCAACTTGGTTGTTTCAACCTTTGAAAGTAATTGTAAATTTCAGATTTAAGTTTTAGTTTTATTTTATTTGAAAATCTGAAATCATAATATATCTAGATAATAATAGAAATAAGTTATATGTGGTAATTAGTATTCCTTCTCTGTGAATACGACTCTATTTTCCGCTATATTAGTGGTAAGTAGGTGAATTTATTTGACTACTTGTGACAGCGACTTGTCATGCATACATCGTGATACTTTTTCCATGATTTGTGATCAAATGAAAACGAGTTTTCCAATGAATACGAGCAAAGAAGAGGAAGAGAGTCCTGCTTGTTCCCCTATGTGTAGACACCAAAGAGGCAGATTGCATCCGGTCATTTTATCTAATACCTTTTTTTCACAATTATTTTTTTAATCTTAGTTCATTTTTTGATAATATATTTTTCTTTTCTTTTTTTTTTTTGGGTACAAGTACAGTAGACACCATTATCTGGTGCTTTGGTATTGTTATCTATTATGTTTTAGTCTTCCGGTTTAGGGTTTAGGGCTTAGGGTCAATAATAAAATTTTGTATTATTTTTTGATAAATTAAATTATTTTAAATTTTTGTAATGAAATGTAATCTACTTTGAAATTTTGAAATTATCTTTATATCTACTCAGTACTTAAATCTTTCCAATTCTTTTATGACCCAGAAAAAAAAAAAGTCTTGTAAAAGGAGTCTATTAAAACACCATAAACTACATTTTAGAAGACCGGAGTGATAGGCCAGGGGCCTTATAGAACTTATATGACCACACTTTTTAGTGCGAGGAAAACTAGTTTTAGTGAGGTTTATTTAATTATGCAAATTACCAAGATAACGAGAGACAATACATGATGATTAAGATGAACGCTATGAGTCTATAATAACTTCTTTACGGTCTAGATTAACATCATGTACATCAAGCTGTAGTATAATATATAATAATCTAATCAAATTTCGGAATCAAGTCAACTGTTTACCGAACAGTAACAGCTACAGTTTGCTTAGGGAAAGTGTTTTACAAGGAGACATTACGACAGATCTTAACAAAGACAACCAATTAAAATTGGAGTAATGATATTCATTTCACCTAAAATTGGAGTAATGATATTCGTGATAATGATTTTAGACCTGAGGCAGAACAGACGTTATAAATGAAAAAGTAAAGAGGGATTACGTCAAATTTACTAATATCGTTTGGCCTGGTTGCAATATTTTCTTAACATCATGTAATGATTTTTTTTTTCACTATGATTTCTTTTTATATTTAATTGCAAACTGTTAGCTAGTTCTTTATAATTTTACTTCACTATGTGATAGAGTGATTATGCTATGTAAAAATTATATACTCCGTCAGTTTCAAAACTATTATACGATTTTGGTTTTATTTTCAGGCAATTAAAATAAAGTTTAATTCCAAACATGACAATGATTGTCGAATAGAGGAAACACTTACGTCATAAATGGGAAAAAAAGGAAGGATTACATGGATTTTAGTAATATCGTTTTTCCAGGTTGCAGTATTTTCTTATTATCATGTAATGAAT